TCATAAATTTTTTATTATTCTTTTTGAATGTGGTTTGCAATAGTATGTATAATAGTTTAATTTTTTATATTTAAGTTTGATATCATTTAATCAATATCATTTGCTTCAATATTTTTATTTACCGATATAAAGCGAGAAATTGTGACTCCAATATGTCAAACGGGTTAATTGTATCGCGTAACTGTTTTCTTTGTAACCTTAAATATCTTTTTTTCTCTGCTTCTTCTTCAACTTCTTCAGCAAGTTGAATTATCCACCACGCTGCAGCCATAATAAAACTAAAAACTATATATATATATATATATTAATAAATACAATATCGATGTATGTATATATACACTGCTCAATGCAGTAGTAACAATATTATGTTCCAGTCACTAGATTTTCACCTTTCCGCCAACAAATTTGATGGCGGAAAAGTTCACGTGAAAAGTTTCACGTTTCACCATTTCGCTGAGTTCGATGGTCATAAATTCACGTGAAATCTTTCACTTTTCGTTTTTCCGCTCTAGGGGAAAAGTTACATGATCGCAGCCCAGCTAATGATTGTGTAGAAAGAGCGGAAGAAAGAAAAACGGAATATATGTAAGTAAATATGATTCTAATGTAATATAGTCGGATATATATAATTATTTAAAATATCCCTCCTAAAATCTTAATAAAAATATACTCATTAGAGTATAAATAATATTATTAATGCGGATAATTTGCGTGCTTAAAAGTTAAAATAGTGAATTGTTTTTAGCAGTGAATTTGTGTTTGTTTGTGTTTGTAAAACAGAGAATTTGTGTAATTAAATCAGAACGTATACATAGCGCTGTATCGAATCGAGACAGATATCTTAACCTCTAAAATCTAGAACTTTAACGTTTAATAACAATTCGCGAAGCCGACTACGATGTTTTTTGCCAGATTCTTTCGTTTCGAGTGAAAACGCGTCGAATGTGTATGCATAAATAATGATATAACAAAAACGCAGTTCAAGGCTTTTTTCGAGCAATAATTTTATTCAATTTTTAGTTCATCTTAATACTACGTTCAATTCTATTTGGTTGTAAAAACCACGCAATTTATTACAACCATTCACAAATCAGGAATCTAATAACTACCATTTACAAACGTTTCAGCTTACAAAGCCTTCTTCAGTGTACTTTACCCTAAACTCATACTGATTTATTTTTCAAATGAAATATCTAATAATTTGTAGTCAATTTCTTATTATAGCCCTATCAAAAATACTTATTAACAATCATTCTTAGGATTAAACTTTCTATAAACTATAAGCAACTTTCAACAGGTTCTGTGTTTTTCATCAAACCTCCAATGTCACGCTCCAATTTTTTTATATTATACAATTAGGTCGTCATATACGAACTGGCCTCGTGGTTATTCAAACCGCATGTCTCAAAGAGAGTTCCATAAACACCATCATAATGCTTGTCTCATACAATTCACTTAGCCGCAATTATCGTCATAAAAACTTCTATTAATTAAAAAACAAACCAACTAAATTTACAAACCTTGACAATTTATTTTTGAAATCAAAAATTTAACTTAAGGTTACTCACAAAAAATATATATTTAAATTTACTTACGGTAGAGTAGATAAAACGTTTAATGTACGAACAACAACGTGTTAGTCAAGACAAAAGCAGTACTATTCTCAAATTACATGAACTATCCGAAATGATCAACCAGAATTGTGTAAAAATGTCAAATGTTAAACGATTGAAACGATCTTCTAATTGTATGTAATGCTCGAATGTGCTAGTCGTTCAACGACTGTAGAACAATGACAACGACAATAAATAACGGCACGTGCCTAACCAATAACCCCGAGTCAGTTCAAAATTTTTTAATTTTTCTTATCACGCATATAATCGAGTATGTTCGAATACGCTTTGTCCAATAGTTCCGTATCCTTCATTAGATTTAAACCTTTTGTCTGCTCTTTTATATGGATCATTTCAGATATATTTCTTTTTTTATAATTTTTTTCAAAATCCAAAATATTGACCCCATCCCAATTAAATTCATGATTAGTTTCATTAGCATGTTTTGTAATAACCGAATGTTTTGATTGATCTAACTTAAAATTATTTCTATGTTCCTTTAATCTCGTTTTTAACTGTCTCTTGGTTTGTCCAACATACGAAGCCTCACAGTTTTTACAATCAATTTTGTAAATGACGTTATTATTATTTTCAAGTCTATTCTTATCTTTTTGAGCCTTAATAAATCTATTTAAATTATTAATACACCTGTAACCAATCATGTAGTTGGCTTTGTTAATAGATCTTTTAACTTTTTCATTCACGGATTTAACATATGGAACGACCATGAGTTGTCTCAACCCATGGTCATCATTACTAATATCTTTCGACACGTCTTTCTGAGCTAAATTTTTAATTCTGTTATTAATATTTTTAAAGATGAAATCCAAAGGATACCCATTATCCAATAAAATTTTGATGATGAATTCTAGATTTTTATTGTAATAGATCGGGTCCGATAACAATATCACTCTATCTAATAAACTATAAATTACTCCGATTTTGTGACAATTAGGATGATTTGAAAGGAACGATAGGTATCTACCTGAAAAAGTCTTTTTGTGGAACCAATCTATTACTAATGTGTTGTTGTCATTAGTAATCCTTAAATCTAAAAAGCTCAGCTCATGGCAAACCTCATATTCAACTGTAAATTTAAGTCTCACATGTTGTTCATTAAACGCTTTTACCAACTGCGGAACTTTTTCTGTTGGGACAATCAAAAACGAGTCATCAACATATCTGAAATATAGTAGATCCTGTAGTTGTAATGAATTAAGAGCTTTAACTTCTATGTCTTCCATCACTATGTCGGCTATGATGGGGGAAAGAGGGGAACCCATAGGAGTGCCAAATGTTTGTTTATAGATGGTCTCATTGAAAGTAAAATAGGTTGACGTCAAAATAAATTTAATTACATCTAAAAATTCTTTTTTTGGAATATTCGTGGCACCCTCTATGGAACTCCATCTTCTCTCCAAACCCTCAATAGCAAGTTCTATTGGAATATTCGTGAAAAGTGATTTTACATCCAACGAAATCATACTTTCATTCGTGTTAACATGTAATCCCTTCAGTCTTTCAAAAAGTTCGAAACTGTTCTTTATATTACTCCTTGCAGAAGGAATATTTTTTGAGATAATATTCTGCAAGAATCTAGCAAGCTGGTATAATGCTGTGTTTACAGAAGAGACAATAATCCTGAAGGGAATCCCATCTTTATGGATCTTAGGTAATGCATACGCTTTTGGTAAACAAGAATCGCTAGATCTCAATCTCCATAATTCAATGTCGTTAATGTAGTTTTTCTGGTGCCATTTTTTTAAAAGATTGTTAAAACTTTTTTCCAAAGTCTTTTTTCCAAAAATTACAAAAGTAAAGAAATTGATAAAGTGTTGACATCATAACTATTTAATAAATTTACATTATAATTATAAATTGGACCGACAGGAATAAATATAATTAATAAAGAAGCCTATTTTCAGTCAAAGTGGACCTTAGGTCGGTATTCATGGTCGAATCTTATATTTAAGACTGTTTTAAATTCAGTTTTAAGATGTCATAAGTCAATCACAGAGTTGTATTAGCATCTAAAAACATTACTTAAAAATGTCTTGATTGAAAATAGACTTCTCTATTAATTATATCAATAAATTCACTCATTTTCATAATTTTCATCAAGTTATATGATATATTATAATCAATCTTAAGGTGCATCAAACTAGTTGCAAATTTAAAAACGAACCACAGTGCTCATTTTGGCTGGATCCAACTTAACTTTCATGATGTTCCAGGGTTTACTTTCTTTATTTTAAAACATAAAAAAACTTTTAAACAATAATTGCAGAATTTTCAAGGACTCCACAATTATATAAATCTTCAATCAAAAAGACTACATAAAAGACAAAGAGTATGTATAAAAATAATAGCCTGAATTGTGTGTTAACTTCTTTCTCACAAACAATACTTTTTTAAATTATAATTTTATTTAATGCAAGACTTAAGAAAATGTGGCATCTAAAATGCTTTAATTTGCACTAATTTTAATAAGATAAGCGTCATTTTTGCTTTAATATGATAATTTAGTTTTACGTTTCACTTAAAAATAACTCTGGTGCAATTAAACACTTAAATAAAAAAATCTTGTAATAAAATGTTATAAACTAATACAATACTAAAACTTTGTAAAATTTATTTCTTTTCCTAAAATTTCTTAAAATAAAAGTTTCTTGGTGTTCCCGTAATTTATATTTCGTTTTGTTAGAAAAGATTTCCTTTTGTTTGAAAAGATTTTTTATCAACTATCACACATATATCTTAAATCCTGTTGCACCACCATTATTTTGACTTTAAAACATGAAACTTAAAACTTAAAATTTATCATATTAAAACACTTTTTTTCTACTCTCTTTTCTCTTCCTTTTATTTTCTAATTCAAAAGTGTAGTGACAACGATTAGATCAACATTTAACTTGATCTTAATATATCTAATAAATTTGAAATCTAATATATCCTAAAACTTATGTGATGACTAATGTACAGTAAAGTTGTCCGCTATTTTTGATAAATTTTAGGACGCCTGAGATGTTCTAGGATAGGTTGCGTTCCGATATTCACAGTCAGTACTGAAAATCTGTAGTATACGTTACATGCACTAAAGATTTTCAACACTGACAGTGAATATCGGAACGCAACCATAGAAACAAAAGTAGATATCCTTTGACTGTACATTAGTCCATGACATAGTTACATTACTTTTAATATAATTTACTCTATTACATTTTTCTACGGAGATTAACATAATAATCATTATTTGTGTGTTATTATTTTTCTATTTATTTATAAAATATAAAAGCTGTTTTATATTACTTAGAGCGATTTATATGTATACTATTTTATATATCATTTAATTTCCTAAATCGCAAAACATCCATTTTGTTTAAAAAAAATTGAGGGACAAAGACAGAATTGAAAAATTTAAAACGACAAAATGAAAATATTGATAACCCTGATGATCCAGTTCCGAAAAAGCAACAGAAATTAGAACAATGGAAAAATGGAAAATCTATAGCTACACAAAAAACGTTAGATACCGCTATATTACGATTTGTTATTGAAGAGATTCAACCTCTCTCTATTGTCGATAAACCATCGTTTATAAATCTAGTCAAAATCGGAATACCTTCAGCTATTCGAGTGATGTGTAGAAAAACGTTAAAAGAAAAACTCAGTCAAGCATATACTATAATGAAATCTGCTCTAGAAAATAAATTAGCCGAAATCGAGATAGTATCAACTACAGCAGATTTGTGGAGTAAGGTAAAAAGGTTAGTTAGTAATAATTTACATTCATATTTAGTTAGTGATATTTTACAGTCATATTTTTTAAGGTTTTTATATGTTCCTTTATGGCTATCCTTATTTGATCTCTCCTGAAAAACTTTTGTTAAGATCATAATTGAAAATTTGAATGAGATTACAATAAATAACTTGAATGCAAATATAAATACGATTTCAGCAAAAATTCGCAGTTAACTTTTCAATTACATTTTCAATTAAAATATAAACTTTCTTTAATTTTGAAACAATAGTATACAGTGAAAAAATTTAAATTTCTTGAAGGAGTTATTTGGGAATAACGGCTCACTGGATTAATCCAGTAACTTTTGCAAGAGAATCGGCTGCATTAGCTTGCCATAGAGTTCAAGGAAAACACACATATGATATTTTAGCGAAGGAAATTAATTCTATCTTTTTAAAATATCATATACAAAACAAAGTTTGTTGTACGACGACCGATAATGGTTCAAATTTTGTTAAAGCATTTCGGTAAGATAATAATCATGATATACTTTTAAAGTATGTTTTCTTTTTTCTTATATTGTTTATGTATCTGTATGTGCGTGCGTGCGTGTGTATAAATGATGATTTTTTTAGAATTTTCGAAAAAAATGAAGATGAAAATGATGAGGAACCCACATAAATGATTTATTAATGGGTGATGAAAAGAATGTTCTTACGGATGATTTTACTCTTCCGCCACATCATAGATGTGTTAGTCACACCCTGAACCTCATCGCAGTTAAAGATTCTGAAAAAGCCTTAGATAATGCTGCAAACAAAAAACAATACCGAGTCACATTCGCTAAATTAAGTAAATTATGAACTAAGCAAAATCAATCTACACAGGTGGCCGATAAAATAAAAGAAATGTGCAGCGTCTATTTAAAGACACCTGTCATTACTAGGTTTAAAACATATTGATTTTATTCATTTTTTAAAATTTGAATTAAGGCTTTCTGTATTTGCGTGTATTAATGATTTTATTGATGCATGTTTGAAGCGAGAATGCCAACAGTTCTTGAAGTTAAGATAAAAGATTATATCCATAAAATAACACTTGTAGTTGAGTTAGTAAATTAGTAAAATATTCTAAACCAGCTTTATTCGTAGTGCAAATCAATAAATAGCCCTAAAATTAGCATGATACGTAACTTACTTTAATCAATCCTTTTTCACATGATTTTTCAGATAATTTTTATGACTATTTATTTCATATCACAGCAAATGGAAAATATGGAGCATTTTATAAATTTTTATCATAAATATCATTTTATAGATACATCTTTATAATTCAGTTGTAACGAATTACACCTCTATCACTCTTAGCTGAATACCCGCCGGATGCCATCCAGCTTGTCGGCGAAGCAGAGTATTGCACCCTGATATATTTTAAAATATGTTTACACAATCTATAGTGCAAGAATTTTTGACATGCGATTTTTCTTCTGACATCATCAAGACAAACACAGCGGTACCCATGAATGTTAACAATGTTAACATCGCTCTTAAAACAAAATAAGAGAAGAGAAGAGAGTTCATGCTTACATATTTTTTACATTAATAGGTGGAATTCTACTTTCGATTCCGTGTCTCAATTAGTGTCACTTTTAAAAGATAACTCAGAAAAAATAAATAAATGTATGGATTATTGCAATTTACAAAGATTGACTGATGATAAAATAAAGTTTTTAGAAGAGTATTGCGAGGTATAAAATGCAGTTAGTTAAAATATAGTTTACT